CAATAACAACAACAACAACAATAATAATAATAATAATAATAATAATAATAATAATAATAATAATAATCCTATCCCCCCAATTGATATTCAAGGCTAACAACCTTGAATGGAAGGAATGCAGCCGAACGGTACTCGTAGATCCCCATAATTCCACACGTTGATCTTCCCAGGAAGAATAGAATACAACTGGACTTAGGAGAGAGAAATGTGTTGCGTCCTCAATAGTGGCCCATATGCGAGGAATAATAATAATAATAATAATAATAATAATAATAATAATAATAATAATAATAATAATAATAATATACAGTGCTTAATTTATAAAATTTTAGGTTGCGGAACGTGCCCCAGATTAATGAATAATTTAATAGAGTTGTATATTTATATTATAATATAATAAATATTCCCGAGGTACCGGAATTAAGAATTGATAATAAAGAATATTGATAACAAAAATATTTTATGAGATTATCTTAATTTCTTTCGAAAAATTTGACTATCAAAAATATGTAAAGTACGATATATATTCATAATTATTATTCTTACATATTCCATAGGTTATTAGTTCACATAAATCGGCTCCCTAACGATGACGGGGGAAGTAGAAATTACGAAAGAGTTTTGTTATTCTGGGGCAATGTTTTCTGGAGTAGTAAAGGGTGACAATCCACCCACCGAATCTATACAATTTATGAAAGGAACAATGCATTACTGGAACAAAATAATGTCCAAAAGCTTTCATTCACAAAAACAGCACAATGCCATTTTGAGCGCCATTTCATGTTTAGTCTACCCTATGATTTAAATTTCTCAATAGTTTCCATGTAAATGAAACAACAATTATCAGAAATTCCAATTGCAGGAGAAACATCTTCTGGTGCTGGATATGAAAAACAATGAGGATGACTGCCTATAGGAAAGTAGATTACAAAAGTAAATCTGGTAAAGAAAAACACTATACATTTGTACATCTCCAAGCGTTACTAATATTTTTATTGAAAAACAAAAGCTTTTAAATCCGCATGGACATCTCAATTCCAACAATACCATTGTTTCCATTTTGCAAAGTACATTACAATTATGAAAGTCATCTTTAATATAATTATTGCCATCTTCAACTGAATTCCGTCACCACTAACAATTATGAACATATTTTTATTGGCACATGTGTCATTACGTTTGAGCAATATCCTGCTTTCTTTCTTTAGTTTTATTGAGAAAAAGTAGTTTTTTTTATTTCTATATTAACTTTTATTTGAAAGTCGCCTATATTAACATTAAAGGCTTCTTAATTGTCATTTTATGGGAAAATTGTTCCTTATCATATGCCAACGACATCGAAAAGAATGGTGCCTTACGAAGTCAGCTTCTCTCTTCTTCTCTTTTCTCTTCTCTGAAACTCTCCAGTTCATGAACTGCGACCTTTAGTCAGGCAGCAAGCTCTTGTCTATTTCTATCCCTGGGTGATTCAGCCGCAAGTCATGTTGCATCCCCCGCATAAATTCCGGATCAAAATACCAGGTCGAGAGGAGCGTCCCGAAAAAGGCGCAGTGAACGCGAGTCGCTCGCAAGTCTTCTCCGTCCGCCCTTCGCGAACCCTCTTCGCGGCCTCCCCGTCTCATCGACGGGGGTGCTCGGCGAGCCGGCGCGGCGAGTGGTGATGGGTGGGGGAGGGGGGAGGGGGGAGGCAACGAGCGGGCTGAAGGGGGCGGGAATGCTGTCCGTGCGGGCGGGAGAACGGGGCTTCCAATTACGCGCTAAGAGCGCCACCTGTCGACCTCCCCATCCGCTACACCGTCCGCCCCTGCGCCCCCCACCAGCCCGCGGGCGCGGGCCCCCGGCCCCCGCCCCCCCCCCCCCGAACAACACATCGTTCCGAACGGCAGGCGGGGATGGGGATGGGACGGGCATCGGGCGGTCCCTGCGGTCGCCGCAAATTGGACACCGCGCCTCGCCACGGCTCGGCCTGCGTCCGTTCCCACCCCCGTCCACGGGGACCGAATCGCCCGCCTACACACTCTCCCGCTCTGGCGTTGTTGTTGCTGCTGCTGCTGCCTCTAGCGACAGTAAATCAGCGCGACAGCCGAAGCTCACAAAGCACTCATTGTGCATCGTGCTATTTAATTTACAACACGCGATATTTTCGGCGCGTGCCCCCATCGTTGATTTACGCGATGCCTCCCGAGCTGCGAGGGAGAGCCGGTTGCGAAAGCTCGGAATCGATACCCGTCGCGGACATGATTCATTAACAGTGCTTGCTAGATGCGGGCACGCACACAAGCGGAACTTCTCAGGCCGTCCACCAGCTTCCCCCACCCCGCAACCCACGTAAAGCCCTTAATGGCTGAATTCCTGAAGCAAACCATCACAATAAAATCAATGGCAAGGGGAAAGGAATATTTGTACGTTACGATTCCATAGTTTCCTTCGCTTTTCCCCAGTCTCCATGACGTCCCGTGTATCAAAATAGTCGTTTAATTTTCCCGCCACAACAAAGGCTATGCACGGAAGGAGCGCCGCTGGCGTGGCTGCTACTCTAAACACAACCACAGACAAATTACTGTCGTAACCCGCACGTGTACGCGAAACGTGATGTTTTGGTGTGTGTTGTAATTGTTTTGCATGGAAAACAAGGAATATTATTTTATTAATTGCTCTAAAAACAGGTTAGGGTGACTGTAATGTGTACAACGTGCTTTTGTTCTTGAATAGCGAAAGTGCTTCCTTGTTTGTTTACTGAATGTGTCCTCCATCAAGCGACATCACCGTGCTTCTCGAGTTGGTAGTTACTTTTTTTTAAGAAAATTGATTTGTTATTCGTTAAGATTTCCGAGTAGTCAAATAGAATACAATTAAAAGACGAATCAAGTGTGGTATTAAGTGTCCAATTTGCCGTAAACGTTTGCCATAACAAAGGAACAATTTGGAGTATTGAGATGTTCACTGTGAGCCACTATTGATGAGAGGACGTAAAAGCTGGACGAGGCATTGTTTTTTTTTCTAAAATTTTATCAAAACAAGTTATATTTATTTCAATACAGATGTTCAGACATTTTTAATCACTTTCACCAGAAATGTGTTTATGTTGTACTGGAAATGTGTGTATAAGATCTTGGTTACATTATTTTCATGCTGTTTCTCTTTCAGGTAGTGATACCATGGAGAAAAATTCAAGTACTTCCCACCGCAAGAAGCATGACAGTAGTATGAAGGAGGGATCTGAAGTGTCTCAATCTTCAACCAGGACTCGACAAAAGCGTGGATCTACTTCACAAACATCAGTTTCTTCTTCTGTTACTTGTTCAGAAGAATCTATGTGCAATGGTTTATCTACCTCAGCTAATCAAACTCAAAAGTCTCGCTCAGCGTCAGTATTGTCTTCCAGTGAGCCATTGGCTAGTGGAGGCCACCGTCGGTCTGCACGATTGAGCCAAATGGAATCTCAACAAACCTCAGAAGATAAAAAGAAGAAGAAAAGTGATGAACAGAAGACCCCTGGAAAAGATAAAAGGAAAGGTAGGATAGAACAAATAATGGAAGAACAAGAAAGTGAAAAACCAGCCTCAAGTAAAAGAACTTCTGGAAAATCAAAAAAGAGTGTGTCAGGAACATTGAAGAAGAGTGACAGAGTTAGTGAAGAAGAAGTAGAAGAACCAGTAGAAAAAAAAGCAAAGAAAAGTGCTAGGCGTTCGAAAGAATTGACCATGCAAGATGATAGCAGTCTAGAAGATAAACCTGTGAATAATGCAGATGAAATACTTAAGAATAGTGTTGTGGCCAATACTAAACCAAGTAAAAAACGGGCATCAAAAAAGCAAACCTTGTGTGAACCTTCACCATCTGTCAATGAGCTTAACATTGAGACCAACATTGATACTCTTACTTCATCTAAGCATGAACATGAGAAACAAGAGCAACCTCCTAAATCATCTAAGCGGAAAAAGTCAATGTCTTCCACAACTGGAAATAATGTGAGTGAAGATTCCTTCAAGCAAGATGAAGGAGAAGATGCAACAAATTCAAAGATACCTAAAGGAGAAGAAAGAATTCAAGAGGAAGATGATACTATGATTTATAAAAACGAACATAATAAAAAGTTTTCGGACAATGCATTAGTGACAGCAGGAAGTGAGCCCATTGCTTCCAATGCAGGAAATGAATCCCATGGATCAGCAGTTGCTCCATGTGCTGAAGCTCAGGATTCTAATATGAAATCAGAGTCATCTGAAACTCAGCAACATTCAGTACGAGGGGAGAAACTGATTAAAGAATCATTTCCTCCCAAAATAAACACTGTGTCTCCCAGCAAAGCAGATTTGGTTCAGGAGTACAATCGTTCTATTAGTGAAAAAATTTCATTACTTAAACCTAAAGCATTTGTTGGTCGTTCAAGTGCTAGTTTTCGAAAAACCGCTGATGATCGCTGTGATGGAAGTGGTCAAGAAGTTGATTCAGATGCTGAGAGTCGAAGGGCCATAATGGAATCTGCTCAGAGGCGTATTGAGCAAAATTTAAGTACGTCTGAGTCTGATTCACGCCTCATTCGAGGTATGCACACTCCTATGGCTCACAGTTCTAAAAATGACTCGTCCGAATCAGACAGTGCTCCTGAAGCAGTGAGCTTTTCTAATGCCCGTCAGGATGCGATGGACACTATTAAAAGTGCAGCAGAGCATGTGAAGCGTGAAAAGCAACGGCTGAAGGAACGAAGGAAGGCACGGCTGGAGATGCTCAAGCAACAGAAGGAAGAAAAGGTAGGAAGAATATCTCATTACACTTAGCTAATTACACACTGATGGATATAATTTTTAATTGAAATGCTTCATTAATTTCTGATACATGTAATAAGCTTAAGATGTGAAACAGTTATGGAAGTACTTCGTCTGTTTGAAAATCACATGCAACTAATGGCAACCTTTCAGAATTATTATGGTATCTATATAGAGTTTACAGTTTGCTTTAATTTTGCATTCGATGATACATATCTAGCATTTACATTTTTAAATTTTGATACAAGATTGAAACCAAAACAAGAGAAAAATAATTTTGTGCAGTTGTAAAATTGATTCTTATCTCCAGATATTGGCACAACGGCAATTTATTTTTATTAATGAAATTATTTGCTATAAACATTGTGAAAATAAATTAATGATTTGAATTTTATTTATGTATTTTATAGCTCATTCGTCTCAAAGAAAAAATGGCAAGTCAAGAAGATGCTTCTTGCAGTAGTTCTGAAGAGTCTGGGTACGAGGAGGAAATCAGGAATGCTCGCCAAAGTTAGTTCTTAATTTTATTCTATAATGTCTTGACTTGGTAAGGTCTCTATTCATGAAAATTTTTGTGTTTTTGTATTTATGTAGTGTATTTTGTACTCTATTATATTCTGTCTGCATAGAGCTCAAGAAGAAGAAAGCAAAAAGCAAGGCACAGCGTACTGAAAAAGAGAACCTAGATGATGCTTTGGGGCAAGCAACATCCAAACCACTCAGTGGAGCTGCATCTGATAGTACTGAAGAAGACGGTATCACTACAAAAGTATGTTGTTTGTATTTATTTTCACATCAGTATTAACATTGTTTGCAAACCTACAATTATGGGAAATCTATGATTGCAAAAACTGACAAATGTTTTGCTGACTGTCTTTATCTGAGGCATTGCTTGGTTTAAGATGGACCAAGAGAAATGCAGCAGAAGACGAGTCATGAAAATAAAACTACCATTGATTTACATTTGAAGAGGGAAATCTTAAGATATTCATATTTCAAAGAGGAAATCTAGTTTTTTAGTTAGTAATCAATGAACGATTCAACCAACTCAATCAGTTGATGTTGCAACCCATACAAATAAACAAACTTCCTCTCATTTCTTTTTTTCTGGAACTTGTGCTTTACACAGGAGGCAGCATCTTTGAGCAGTTTGAAACGAGTGCAAGTGGACATGTTCCAATCTGCTAAAGAAGCTGCAAAAACACAGAAAGTTGGTAGCAGCAGTGGCAATAAAGTTCTGCAAGAAGATAAATTGAAAAAGAAAAAGAGCAAAAGTGGAAGAATAGATGAACCAGACAAAAAAGACAGAGGTAAAAAGAAAAAATACAGAAGTTTTTTTATTAATTTCTAATATTTGATTGGAGGTTACATTGAGTTTTTGTTTCAGGTTTCAAAAACCTCACCAGCCTAGATTACATCCCATTAAGTACAGAAGGGGCTACAAAATTCATGGTAGTGCCATTGGATAAAGCAATGCGAGCACCTAAGTCATTAGCAGAGGAAGCTGCAGATTTCAGACAAAATATGTTGTATGGGTCTCGAATCAAAAGGGAACCTGGTATGTTTTATATTCTTTTTGTGAGCCAAGTTTGTTTTTTATATATGTAAACATGAACTAATTTCTTCTGGTTCTAAAATCCTTAACTGTTTTAATGTGTCATCTAAAAATTTATTAAGTTAAATGAAAATAATATACCATAAGATCGCATTTCAGTTTTTGTGAGTTAAGTACTTGCAATATTTTTCCGAATATGAATAAATATTGCTTATTTGTTATTAATGTCATCTTCAATTTATTTCTTTATTGCAGGCAAAGTTGTATCAGCATACCAACAAAAATTGATAGCTTCAGGCAAAAATTTCCATGTGAGGTAATCTGCTCATTGTTGTTGTTATCAGTATAACCTTTCGTCAATTATATTGGTGTGTACTGTAATGCTCTTGTTAAAATTTGTATGTACAGCTGATTTTGAGGTACTTCAATGTTATTTGTTCCTTCGTGTCAGACTTTTATTCGAGATGGAATGCCCAAGTACTTCCTATTGATTCAATATACTGATGTTTTTGTTAAAATTAGTTATTATTAAATATAGCACAATGTGTAGGAAAAAATTTTATAATTTTGTTGCAATTAGTTTTAAAGAGCCTGATATGACCATTATGACTTGTTGTGATTGTTTTGCTTTATTCTTCATCTATTTATTAACTCTTCTATGTATCTGTACTTGAAATATGGTAGTACTGCTTCGTGAAGTCTAACAACTCTTTGCTGTTATCTTGGGATGTGGGTGGGAAGATTTAAGCTATGTAGAACACTGTGTGTTAGATGCAGTGTAGAGCCTGCACATCTTGCAATTGCCTGTCCCAAATGCTGCACAATCCTTGCAGCTTGTACTGTTTTTATGTACACATAGAACATTCACAGAAATGCTAAATATAATATGATTATTGCAGAGTCATGCAATTCTATGATGTCACTTTTTGTTCTCTGTCATAAATGCCCAGAGATATTAATCTCTGCCTGTACTGATCAGTAAGACTGTATATACTTACAAATAAAACAAGACATTTGGTTTAAACTGTAGTTTACATGATTTACATGATTCTTTTTTAACTCCCATGTTCCAACTTTTTAATTCTTAATTCCTTGAACTGATATCCTTTAATGATTCTCTGAAGAAATTACCTAACCCTCCAAAGAAAAAAATTATTTTTTATCAAAAAAATTGAATATCTTTAGATTTTTAGATTTAACAACTTTAGTTTAAGCTCAAAAAATTGTTTAAAAAATTAATCTATAATTCGGCAAGGAGTGTGAGGGTGTGATGTACATGTCATACTCGTCCTTTGGGGGGTGATAACTATGCTGGGTTGATAGAGAGAAAATATTTATCAAGGAGAGCATTTATTTCCAAAGCATACAGTAAAATGACTAGTCAAGGACTACAATATCAGTAGCAAACGAATTACACTTCTCTATTAATTCTTAGAAAAAAAATTTGATTTCAAAGAGCAGAAAATTAGTCCATTTTTTTTTATATGAAATGGTACATTGCATTTCAAGCACAAACCTTCGCCCTAAATTTTGTGCACATTGAAGCAATGAAACTTTTGCATCTATCATTAGCACGTCTCTATTTATTTTCCATTTCCTCATGTAGATTGTCAGCTCTGTCAAAACGGATGTCGTCTAAAATTCACATTGAACTGTTCAACGACGGGTGTTGGACCTACAGATTTGACAGCTGACTTGTATCGTGTCAAGATATCTCCCTTCTGAATTTCAGTTTAGTGCTGTTTCTTCCAGTCTTCTTGAAAATCAGGCAAGCATTATTTATTACTGCATCTTTGAGCCGTCAATATTGCCCAATGCCATTTCTTACCTCTGATAGATATTTGGTACTGATTTATATTTTGACGTGAATAAGTTGTCTGTAATTATACAATAAGGATAACTTCTTTTATGATCGGGCAATTAATCTACAAATGAAATCAAAGGGGCTGTGGCTTTACAAAAATTTTTTTCATATTGAGGGTTTGTCACTGGTGTATATTTCCCCTCAATATTTAATAAGTACCTATAGAATGTATTCAGACACCATATTTTCTTGCCAAACCTTATGGGTTTACCACAAATGAACTGCTTGCAAGGATGTGGGCTCCATGGATTTGTCATAATCAAGTAATTCACATTCAAGAATGTTATCAATAAAATGTTTCTTGAGAAGATATACAAGTAGGTGGAGCTTGAATAATCTGTCATTCTTGTCAATACTAGTTTTCATAATCAGACTTCTTGTCAGTATCAGAACTATCAGCAACATGAAAGTATTTTGGCAATGAATAAAAACTTGTCCTTTCGCCTACATTCAGATACTAATATATTCTCCGTGTCTGGCTCGGAATCCAAGTAACTTTTTTACCTGACAAAACATTATAACTAGAAAGGATCAGTATACTCAGAAAATCCTTGATCTTTTCTGCCATAACATTCATATTATTTTCATTTTTCGACAAAGCATATTTCTTGGACTCTGTGAGGAAAAGGGAAATCACCTCTTCATCTATATAGATTTCAAAAATTTCAACGAGTGTCATACTTTTATATTGTTGGCAGGGTTTTCTGAAAATATCCCATCTTTTTTATTGAATCAAATAGATCTCCGTCTATTCACTCAAGTTCCCTTTTTGTGGAATAACCCAAGAAATCGTGTACCAGGCCTCCAATTAGACAAAACCACCCCAGTTCCCTCAAATTGAATGCCAAACAAATTGTCCAGCAGACCTGTGTCTTCATCACCACTGTCATTATAAGTTAGTTCGTTGGCAGGTGGTGGTGCAATGAAAATATCCTCTACTTCTATATCATCACCACTACAATCATCAACGATACCTTGAAAATCTTCTTCAAGCAAGTGAACTATCTCTGTGACAGTCAGTCCTTCTCTAAAATGGATGTATTGAACCTGAACTACAAAGCTCTTATTAATGATTGACTACCTTTGCAACCAAACTTACAGTAGAAATACTTTGTTGGAATGGATGACCATCTCATCTGTCATTCAGAGGCAATTAAGTGTGGAGTTCCACTAGGATCTACCTTTTTTTTCTTAATGTGAATTGTATGCCTTCTATGCTTGCCCATGAAAAAGAGACATAAATACTTGGGACTTATTAATTTAGGAAAGGAAATGAAGTTTCACAGGTTGAAACAACTTTCCATGCCCAACAAAATAAGACAAATTTGATTGTGAAGTAGTCAGTGTAAGAGCATATCTCAGTAGGTATTGTGGAAATTTTTGTTTATGCTTAAGTATCCAAAATTACTCCCTCCTTTCAGTAAGCTTGTCTTCTTTGGAATCACAAAACATGGTAAGTGATGCTGGCTTAGGGCACCTAAGCAACTTATCTCCCAAAGTTTATGGCTCATCATGAAGTTATGAATGCAAGCTCATTCTATTTTCTGCAGGACCGGGTAAGGATCAATCTGGTATTTAGCCATGTAACAAAGCAGGACCCATTTTCTGTGATTCACGGTACCTTAATTTTTTTCATATCCTGTGATTAGACTAAAGAAATTTGTATTGTTATTTGATGTGTACTTACGTCAGGTCTTCAATAAAACATGATAAAAAAGTTTTGCAGTGTGTTATTTATTTTAATTTTTCCTGCCAGAAAATTATTAGAATGAGGGTTCCGTTTTGTTGGACAGAGCAAAAGGCACTAGAGATATCCAACCCTACCATAAAATGTGAAGATTTCTGGCAAATTGATATGTTCCTTGATACAAGGTAACATCAATTCATATTACAAATGACAGCTGTCATAGAATTACTGAATGATTCCCAAAAAAATCTCTCATTAAAGAAAATTCTACTTATCAAGTTAGTTCTACCTGAACTACAAAGCTCTTATTAATGATTGACTACCTTTGCAACCAAACGTACAGTAGAAATACTTTGTTGGAATGGATGACCATCTCATCTGTCATTCAGAGGCAATTAAGTGTGGAGTTCCACTTTTTTTTTCTTAATGTGAATTGTATGCCTTCTATGCTTGCCCATGAAAAAGCTATTTTCAATGCCTATGACTCTTTGTATAAAGGAAACAGTGGAAGCACTGTCTCAGACATTTAAAATTGGTTCCACAACAGTAAAGTAATCATACACAAAGTGAAAATTGCGTCAATGAATTTTAACATTAATATCAATATACTCATTCAAATAACAAATAAACAATTGGTGTGGTTCATAAAAACAAACTTATTTCAGTTCAATTATTTATTTATTTTAATGGTCAACTGCTGAAGTCATTAAGGCCCACGAGTATGTGTTACCAACAATGATGAAATGAGAGGTAGAAGAAAAAGAAGGCCCGGAGAAAACTTTGGGAAAGCTTACTTTATGCACCACAAACTTCACTACATTGGACTGTCATCAAAGCTAGTTCCTAGCAATGGAAGGTACTATTTACTCTTACCATTAAGCCATGAGTCATCTTAATTCAATCAAATTTGAAGTCAAACAAACATTTGGATAGACCTGAATTCAAAGTTAAGATCATGCTGTTATTTGCTCAGAATAATTGCTAACTCATGTTACCATGTAGCTTAATGTGTGAACTTTGCAAATATCCATTTCTGCCAGCGATATGGCTTAACGTTTTAGGAAAACTAACTGGACATTATAGGAACTCAGATTAATGAAACAAATTAAATGAATACAAAATCATTGACAACCCTATTTATTCAACAGGCAACCACTATGAATATACAGTTATGATACGATGTTTTTGTAAAAATGGACGAAAATGAAGGACTTGTTTATCTTACATAAATACCAATAGTGTGATTAAAATTGGTAGTGTGGCAAGTATGGCAGGTATTTTCATTTTGAATTTTGTGCAATGAATGTTCTCGATCAAAGAAATTTTAAACACAATACAGTTGTCTGGCTGATCTATCCTCGGAGAAGGAGAGTTACGTGAAAAAATATTAATAGACGAACCTTTTTTTAAACACATAAGTTTCATTACATAATTAAGTTTAACTATCACCAGTCTTATAAATCATGTCCTAAGGATTCACATTCTGCTGAAAAGGTTGTATTCTCAGTCTTGCCACTGTAGGTGCCTTGAAGGGCCCACCTTCACAAAAAAACATGTTTTTCCTATTTATTTTTTTTCTTTCCCTAATAATTGTTTTGAAGTATCCACAAAACTTGATGTTTCATGACCTTGTACAATGAAAACATTTAAATCAAACAATATTAAAGTAAATAATTAATTGCACAATCTGCTTGGAATCCAATCTTTTAAATCCTTTCAGGGTTACAATAAATACCAAGCGAAGACTGTTCTTGCACCTCCTACCTATGAAGCAGGTGAAGGTAATCTTTGACTCTCCATCAATTTCAATAATTGGACTGATGAAGTATTAATACAATTACGTGTAAACTTTGCGTAAAAGTAAGTTCTCCTGATTGTTGCTTTGAAAGTTCAAATGCTTCACACTCACTTGCTGGGAAAAGTTATGAACAATGCCAGAAAACTAAATCTGTTATGAAATTTTGATGCTCACATTAGTAATAATAATAATAATGCACACATTTTGATAATCTCATCAGTAATAATAATTATCCTTTTTTTCCTCTTGATGACATGGTGTTTTCAATTTTCAAAGAAAGTTTAGCCCTAGGTGCTAAATGTATTTTTGAAACCTGTAACTATTCATCATCATCATCATCATCATCATCATAATGAACATTTAAGGTATAGATCTGTTGACCTTTCCTTGGTTTATCAATATTCCTTCAGTTGCTTTTCATTTCTTATCATATCTCTTCTTAAAACTCTAGAAATTGATCTCAAGATCTCATTTGTGCCACTCCAATTTTTTTTTTCTTTTTCTTCAGAATTCATGTTTTACTACTGTATGTTAGTGTGGGTTTTGCAAATAGTGTGGGTAATGTTATATTTTGTCTCAGTATTCATATTTGGAAGTGTCTTTTGATACATCCGATTTTTGTTGTAACTAGTGAACTCAAAAACATGATTTCATTACACAACTTCCGAACCGAAAGGGTTAAACAAAAAGATCACCAGTTTATGCATAAACTGTTATAAGAATCTTTAAGTATTTTCATGAGCCATTCAAGTAGTATTAAAAGTGAAACAAAAGAAGAATTCAACAATAAAAATTATATAACAATTATTGTTGAAAACATTTATTAGTCAAATTTGAAACAAATGTACAAACCACTTCACCACATGAAGGAATACTGCTTTTCTACACATAAGCAGGACAGGAGCACCACTCCTAAACTGAGGGTGTTGAGAATGATGATGGTGTACAAATATAATGAAAAAAGAAGGTTCTAATGGTTAATGTTTATATCAACTGTTTTAATAAATCAATTCTATATACCTGCAGAACTGATTTTCAATTGAGATATTTTGTTGGGCTTTGCCTGCAATTTCATATTTCATTTGCTTACATTTTTTTTAATCATATGTACCTACCTATTCTTCATTAATGGGTTTGAAAAGAATACTCACCTATATTTTTTCCAGTTAACAAATTTGATGTACTTGTGTTAAAGTCATCTTCATCTCCATGACATACTTCATTCTCCTAAAACAATCATCGTAGTCATAACATGTAAAAGATATGGTAAAAGGATCCTATATCACCTATAATGTAATTATGTTTGGGAGTAAGTGTATTATACACACCAATGTATCTTCCATTTCATCTCTTCCTAACCCTTGTTCTGAATTTTTTCTTTTTTTTTTCCTCTACTGCACTCCTGGCAGTGATACTCTCTTCCTTGACTATATCATTTCCTTCAGAGAAAAGAGAGTGAAGTTCAATTATAACAATATAAATGCATGAAAAGATAATCATTGTCTGACAGCTTACCATTCAATAGTTTTCTTGTACTTGTTCCTGAAGTGCCTGTAGCACTACTGAGTATGGAGGTTTGGGAGCAGACAACACTCCGACTTCTATATTCTACATGCAATCTTTATCGCATCATGCCATTTCCTCATTAATAGTCTTGCTGACCTGGTCACGCCAGTGTCGGTTCTTCTCACAAATATATGAGCTATTTCCGTCCGCACTTTATTCTGCAAATTGATTATGGGTGAAAGTTAATTTTGCCTTACCCTAATAATGAATCGTTGACCAAATAATCGTTCACTTACATTGGCAAAGTAATCCGTGTAATTTTTGTCCAAAATATCCATTTGTTCTCGAACTAATTGAATTAAGAGCTGAGATTCTCTCTGAGCAAATTTTGAATTTTGACGATCATCTGATGTCTGAGACTCAGCATTCTCAAGGGCTGGAAGCATACTATAATTTTCCGGAACTACCGCCTCCTCTTCATCTTTTTCAATTTCTTGCTTAGGCTCTACCTTTTCAAAAGTAGTGAGTACACTTGCAAACGGCTCCATGTCTTTTTCGCATCTTCGCGCCTTGTTTGTATCCATCCCAACTGAACACTACCAATCCAACAAAACTATCAATGGCACCCAAGACGAGAATGTCACAATAGAGGTGTTTTGTGCTGTCAATTGACAGACTTTTTTTAAGCATTGATAAAACGAAAATTAAGGAGCAACCTGGAACGACACAGAAGTGCCCAGGCGCAATGCGTTCCTTACGAGCCAGTGGTTCGATCAGTCATGAGGGAAAATGGCTCTGGAGCGAGCACATGCCAGCCCGAACAAACTTCTTGGTGGGAATGGAAATATAGTCTATTCACGATATACCAAACTGAATTTAATGTAGAAGGGGTAGCAACACTACTATTAAAATACTATCTCAACGGAATTATCCGCATTTTTAATTTCTCTTATACGTACGGAGTAATAAACGTAGTAGTGGTGCTAAAACAGCACGGACTTCCTCCTCCGTATTTTCAAAACATATCTTTAAGAAACAGATTTTATTAAGGGGAAAATGTCGAACTTTAATCTTTTTGTTGTAGGATTACACCAAAATAATTTTGAACGTTTTTGCAATTTTCGAAAATCAGGATTTTCTACGAACATGAGACCTGCATCATTCTCTTAAACGTCCTTCATACTATACAACAACAAAATTCAATCAAAAACGAAGGAGCCCTTTTTTTATTAGGGAACTGTCCCAAGGGCTTCATGTACAGTACCGCCCAAAATTATATTTTCGATTTCAAATTCAAAGAGCTGCGAAATCAGCCCGATCGATAGGGGAATATCAATTTTGTAGAAAATCGACTGAACGGTTTAGCTGCTAGCGTTGTTCACGAACGGACAGACAGACGTTTTGCCGTCATTCGATTTTTCGGTATCAAGGCCTCACAAAACACTGGATACTGGCTACTCCACGAGAGAGAGGATTTCCCCCCTAAATTAAGCAACTGGATTTATCCACTTTTTCGTTTTCAGGGTCCTGTAATAAGAGTTTTTCTACCGAAAATTCGCCGTTTTTTTGCGCAGCATTACATAACTTTCTCTCTACTCCGTAGGGAGAAAGTAAAAAGTAATGCTATGGCAAAAAAGGAAAATTTTCTTCAGAGACACTCGTTTTGTGGAGCCTTGATACTGAAAAGGTAAATAAATCATTTTTCAAATATGTAGAGAATTTCTTCCTCTAACCACACTGCGTAGTCAAATCCCACGATATGTGGGTTCTTGAAACCGAAAAATTGTCCGTCCGTTCGTAAACTACACTAGCCCCTAAACTACTTGAAGGATCTTGGTCCGAAATTAATATTCGCCGGTCGATCTGACCTGACTCAAAGCTCTCGATTTTCAAAAACGTTCTTGAAATTTTTGGGGTATTTCACATGAAGCCCGTGGGCCGTTCTCCAGGTGTTTTTTTTTTTTTTTTTCAAAAACAGCTCCAATCTTTTCATTAAATTTCTTGTAAGAATAGAGTGAAAACACTTATGAAAAACATATGTCTGACTTTCACTGTTAATTCTGAATTTTTATGCGTTCGTCACTTTGCATCTCAATCTTTTTCCACGGATATCAAACTAGAGATTCTATACTACTATTACAGACCGAGGTAAACGGTCTGTAAT